TATCTCTCTCCCACTCTCTCTTTCTCGTTTTGCATGACGATTCATTTCTTTTACAATTTCCTGCGCTCTTCCCTTGTTTTCCTGTTTGTGTGACACCTGCATTATAATGCTCGTAATCTTTATCATGATCAAGTATTATTGATTGACTCATTTCCATGCGATATCGCAGACTGGTCTCAAATATGATAAGGCGGGGCTCCACTCCAGCCATAATGGAAACGCGCCGAAGTCTGTTCAGATTCGACTGTACAGCTAATTGACTAATGAATGGCACTCATTGTATTTGTTTTCCCTCCATGCCAATTTGTGACAGTTTTTCTAATTGTTATTACTAAAAAATTTATTGAAGCCAGTTTCCGAGAAACACAGTTTGTGGCAATAAATGATAATCACATGGTACGCGGCGGCCACTTATCGATATATCAACCACATTTGAGCGCATTTTGAATGCTTGGCCAAAGCTAACTAATAAGGGAAAGTACCCGAAATGAAGCGCATTTTCCGGTCGCAAAGTTCAAGTTGATTGTGAACTGTTTAACAAATACTTTTCAGCTTCATTTTGTTTATCACAACAAAAATATCAAATCAATTTGTACACAACTTGGCCAAAATTCATTCAACAGAAATCTGATGGAAAAAAAGTCCAAAGATTGTCTTTGAAATTAACAAGAATATTTCACAAGTCTAACTAACTTAACAAATTTCATTTTATTTTACTTTATTTTTTTTATCTATAATTTATTTTTAATTTAAATTAGGAATATTTTGTCAGTTTTACATGCAGCGTTCACGGAGATACTTTACGTGGCCCAAGCTTTAACTGCTTGGGAATTTTAAGCGCAAACGCTGCGAAAATACGTTGCTGTCATTAATTATGATTTGTATTTAATGTTATGTGTTTCTTCTCAAGGATTACACTTTTAAGCACAAATTATTTCAAGCTCCAATCATAAGAGTTGAAAATTTCATCTGGAGTTGAACCAGCAATGCGGCTCTTGTCAGTTCGACGCTCAGACACGAAAGCCTTAAAGGTCCATTATGTCACATTTCTTAAGCACAAACTTTGGCCTTCGTTTTCCAACACTTACGGGTTGAACCCCCTCTCGAGCCAAACGAAAGCCTCCATAATTATTCCAACTTCAGTCAGGACAAACTTTCGTATTAATATAGATATACCTATTATGCCCCATTTTATAAGTTCTAGCTCGTGTAATCGTATTCGCGCATGATCCTAACCTTGCCCAAAAATCGTTTCGCCAACTTTCCAGCTGCCTCTCGAGTGTTAACGTGACTTCGGGCAATCGCCCTTTGATCGAGCCCATATCAGCATCAGCCCATACACGAGTTTGTTTACCCCATTAAAAAAAAAAACAAAAAAAAAAAACAAAAGAGGCAATTCCTAGAATTCGATTTGAAGTGCAGAAATCAGGTGAATTTAATAAATTCTAATCAGAAGAGCTTCAGAAATGAAAGAACAAAAAAAAAAAGAACTACTCGAAGTTGTTAATTTCGCAAATTCGTAATTCTTGCTTCCGATTGCGCGAGTGTGTGCTTAGATACCCTAACATTTGTAGTTTTCCCCTCAATATGCACGGCAAGTTGGGTGTTTAAGACTTTGCTTATCTTAAGCAAGAAATCTATGAATAAACGTATTTGGTATTTTGGTACCTTGTATTTGTTTATGTATTTGTTTGCGCACATGCAGCTTATCGAAATTTTTGTCGCCGGTCGAATGACGGAATTGCGCTGACAAATCAACTGCTTATAAATATTGTGAATCATATTCAAATTACATAGACAACTTTTAAAATTGGCAGCGAACACAAATATCGATAAGATTCCTGACTGACCCGATATGAAAATGTCTGCCTCCAAAGTTGACTAATGCACAAATTTCCCAATCTCAAATAGGTAAATAGGTGTATATAGAAAAGCATTTTGTTTTATCAAGAGTGGAAGTATATATATGTTATATATATAGAACAGTTTTTTCTGATTGAAAGGTCTTTGGGGAAATTCCGAGTAGAGATAAACTGTGGACTTGAATATTAAAAGCAACAAGAATAGTTGTGCTTTGCAAGCGTGATGTCACGAGTCCGAGCGTTGGACTGATAAGCGGGAAGTCGCTAGCTCAACTTCGAATTGGAGAATCGGGAATAAGTATTTAATCACTGCATGAGCATAATATATGTATATGAAGGCAAAATTAATATGAACAAAGAGTCGGCGAATGTCTAAAATATGGCAGAAATTGCACACATATTATTAAATATAACCATACAACGCCGGGCAATTTCTTTAACAAAATTATAATTGATTATTGCAGCTTTACATAATATAAATTAGATTCTCAGTAAATATATAAACAATTCCAATTGGTTGTCTTTTAAGCTTAATAAAAAGAATTTTTCAGATATTTTTTAGGGTCACATTTTCTTGCGTTGCATTTTGCAGGGCATTCGCAAGTCGACTTGACGCTGTTTGTTTGTTGTGTGTCGCCTTTCAATTGATTATTTTGTTTTTCAAGTGTCAATTGGTTTCGTTATTTTTTTATGAACGTCAGCGATGATATGCAAAGTGTTTGTGTTAACGCAATTGAGTTTCTTTTGTTGTTGTTGTTGTATTTTTTTTAGGTAAGGTATTATCTGGTACACCTTCCGTGCCAGCTAGTTGGCGGAGAGGAGGCGCCTTATCAGCTGAAAGGCAAACAAATTGAACTCATTTCTTGAAACAACTTCGACGCAATTGTCGACACGGCCTGCAGATATATGTATATGTATAGACAGCTAGCACGGGCTATAGACACAGATACATATTGTAAATATTCCAATAAGTCTCAACTTGTCGCTGTCTTTGGCTGTTTGGCTGTTTGGCTGTTGTCGCCTCTTGCTAATCAGTTCATGTACATGCAGAGGCGACCGAATATGGTAAATGGTAGGAAAGAAAGAAAGCAACCAGAGATAAAGGAGAAGAGGAGAAGGAGACGTTGGCAGAGACGGAGACGGAAACGGAGACGGCACCGTTTCCAGCGTATGCAACGTGTGGCATACATATAAAGCGCGGTACCATTTTTATCTAATTAGGCTAAGCAGCAGGCAAAAGAAGAAGAAGAAGACGATGATGAAGAAGAAGAAGCAGAAGAAGCGTTGCGAGTGCGACAAATATTTATTATTGTGCAAACAAGCGAACGCAGTAAAATAATCAATCACTCGATCGTTACAGCAAATGGCCTGGTATCTGTAGCTGTATCTATAGTTGTATCTGTAAATGTATCTGTAGCGACAAATGTATCTGTAGCGCTCCGGTCGTAACTAAATGCGGCGCAGTTAACGGCATTTGAATAAGGTAAGGAAATGCAGACAAGACGCAGATACATTTATAGATATAGCTATATAGATACACAACAGCCTATAGATACAGATATAGATACAGATACAGATACTTGGCCGTGCCTTGCACTCATTCAACGTATCTGTCGCTGTCGCTGTATCTTCGCTGAGCCGCACAAGTGTTATGCTAATAAAACAAATCGAAGACAGCTTATCAGTTATATATATATATATATATATGTATGTATAGATATTTATGCCATATTTACATTTACAAGCGAAGACGCGACGACAATATTTAAAGTGTAAATCGATCGATTTTTCTTTAGATTTTTTTCCCTGCTTTTTTTTTATTATTTTTTTGTTTATTGTATTTATTTCAATTTCAATATTATTTATCAACGCCGTTGCCGCTGCCGGTGCTGGCCTGTGGCTGCTTATTGGTGCCACATTGCGAAAGCCACTTCAACATTTGTGCGACTAGTGTAAACTTTGCTGTTTACACTAGACTTATGGCATGCCCTTTTTTTTTTTTTGTACTATGTATTTTGTTCAGCTCCCAAGTGGTTGGGCTCATTGAACAAATTTGATAGTTATGCTTGAGATTTTTGCTGCTGATAAACAATTTGGCACTTGGCATATGCGAAAAGTACACCCTGTAATACATACACTTGATTTCTGTTGAAATTTAACCAAGATTTGTATAATCGGCAGATGGCAATTCAATACATTCCATAAACATGGCTTGACATTGATATCAAAAGAGTTAATGTAAAGGATTTTCATAGCCGATTATGCAATAGCAAAAAAAAGTATCTTAAGTTGTTTACAGTGCAAAGAGATTTATCTTTACTTCAAACATTATGTGAGCTTGAGAAAAGGTCGTTGGGTATAAAGTAGAAAGCAGATATACGTATCAGCAGTTTATCTGATCCTAACGTAGATTAACGTTATTCAAATGGAGAAATTGGTTAAATAGTTTGAATTACATAGTTTAAGTATCACGAGGTAGTCAAATGGAATCTATTCAAGATTTCAAGGAGAAGACTCCCTGAAGTAGCTAAAAATTTCGAAAATTAGTCCCACAGAAAATATTTAATTTAATTATTATAATCTTAAGGTCTTAAAACTATGAAAGTGTTAAGTCAACCTAGTTTAATCAAGTCGCCAGATTTCGGGTTTTTAAATCCAACTCTCTCAGGCTACTTTAAAATAATATTATGGTTCTTAAAAATATTTAAATATGCATGAAAATTTAATGTGATAATTCTTTATTCATTTTTATAATTGTTAATATTTGTATTATTTTTATATATATTATTGTTAATTTTTTTATTTGTTCTATTTTTCTTTTACAATCATTATTATTATTTTTGTTATTATAAATTGTATTATTATTATATTCATTATTATTATTATTGTTATAATTCTTTTTTTTCTTATTTATTGTTTCTCTTTTTACTGTCATTTTTATTGTTTTTATTCTTATTAGTATTGTGCTTATTTTTATAATTATTATTATTACTGTTCTTCTTATTAGTTTTATTATTATTGCTTTAATTATTCTTTAATCTTTCTTTAATTGTAATCTTAAAACCTAAACTCTATTAAATTGGAATCTTTCGATTATGTTCCTAAAAACTGACTGCATATATCCCAATTAGACTTTACCTTTAGCTTTGAACTGCTTTAACTGCCACACTCTTCTGTTAAAACTCACAATAAAAACTCACAAATATTTCATGAATCTGTATCGCACTTTTGCCTAATTGTTGGCCAAAAATCGATGGCAATTACATTTGCGGCGTTTAGCAAAGCAAGTACTTCGGACTTGGCACATCGGCAGTTTTAAGTTGGGAAATACTCTATATATATATATATATATATATATTTAACGTATCGGGCGATTTATTCGCGGTACCGAAAGCGCGCAAAATGCCGTCGTGAAAAGCGCTGAAAAAAGTGCAGAGCAAACACGGCGCAGCGCAAAACTGAAACTGAAACTGAAACGGGCGAAGCTGAAGCTACCTCAACGCACAGAAACAACACGCGACGCGAGTGGGCGAGAGGGGAGGGGATGTTGGCAGCGTCGGTGGCGGCGGCGGGGGAGGGGGAAGAGCGGCAACAGCAGCAACCGGCTACGTTTGAGTCGAAGTTTTTTGTTTTTTTCGGGGGGCGGCTGGGGCGGGCGGCTGTTGCTAAACAAAAATCGTAACGCGCGCGCGCACTTGAGTTGCAAACACTGAAACTGAACTGAACGAAAAAGTATCTTAAAGATGCGCAGATCAAAAGCGCAGCACGGCCGCCTGCCTGGCTAACTGACTGCGTTGTCTGTGGGCCAAAAGCGAAGCGAAACGAAATGCGGCAACAAGTTTTGCGATACAAAAGCAAATAAACAAACGGCGGCAACTGCAGCGACAACAACAACAACATAATGTATCTGTATCTACATCTGTATCTGTATCTCCACACACACACACATATACACTCACACATGCACGCAGTCTCAGTGCGTTGGAGCATGCAACACGCGAGCAGCAATTGCAACCTGTTCGCAAACGAGCGAGCGGGCGAGAGCGCCTGATAACACATTCGCGCTCTCTTCGCCAAATCGTAGCCGCGCTCTCCTTCGCTCGCTCTCACTAATACCAGCGCAAAATTGCGATCGTGCGCTCTCTTAGGTTCCACAAAAGCTGCGCTTGTGTGCGTTGCGCTCGGGTGCGAGCGAGACAGCAACTGAACGCCGCCGCCCGCGCTCGTGTACTACACGAGCTTCACGCACACCAGCGCATTATTCAAATCAGGCATAGGCCTGTCTCGCTCGCACCTGTGCGCTCTCCGAGCTTTTGTTTCGCCTTATTTAAATTTATGATTATCGCTGCATGTGTGTATGTGTGTGTGTGTGCTTGCTTGAGTTTAATCCAATTGGAGGTGGAGCAGCCGCTTAGCATGCTGCGGTGCTCTTCTAGCCAACGCTCGCTTATTGTCTTCTGCGGCGGCCTTTGCGTACGTGCTTCCACTCGTAGATACTCTATCTACGCCTGCACGAAAAACGTTAACTGTCACAGCTTGTGATTATTTTTTCGTGTTATCCAATTGGATTTCGGTTAACTGTAAACTGGTTTCCACTCAGCTACTATTGGCACAGTTTAACTAATGGGTTTCCAATTTCGTTCTAATGTGAATATCAATTTTTGAGATATTTGGAGTAGTAGAAAAAATTGATTTAAAGGCCTTCTTTACAAAACTTTCTTTTACTGTATATACAAAATTATTGTTAAGAACACTTAATATATGTTTCAGATAATACAAAAAAAAAACACAAAATTTGGTGTTAATCCATATGCTTAAAATTCCTTATCAGTTTTGAGCACTAAAGCTACCCTTGAACTAGCTTCAACTTAAAACTAGATAATTCATTTTTATATTGAAGATGAAAGTTGGAGGCAAACGAGATACATTTTATAGAGAACTGCTTATATATTTATATTATATTATATATATATATAGTGTATAGAATAGTCTTCATATACGAACAAGTCATAACTCATAACAAAAATCTATAAAAAAAAAATTATACAAAAATATTTTTGATATTTTTAATCAAGAAAACTTTTTATATATATTTAAAAATTTGTATATTAATATTAAAAATGTAGTTAAACGTAAATTTATGGAATTATTCAAACATAAATTGATTCAAAAAATATTATTATTTTATTATTTTTAATTTTTGCTATTTTATATTTTGGATATAGTTTTCTACTAGTATTTTCTTGCTTAATAATTTTTTATATTTGTGTCTCTATATCTTATATATAAAACAAGAATATTCCAATACAAATTTAGAACTCGCTCCTCTGCTCTTACTCCTATATGTTCTTATAGGCCACATTCTTGCCATAACCCACACTCAGTTTCTGCATTGATCCTTGATCTTAAGTCCAGTTCAAGTCATGTCTCACGTGCTGTTACGCTGTTCTTCCACCTGTGTCTGCCACTTGTACCTGTTTGGCACACAAAAATTAATCAGCAATTAATCAAGCGAATAATTCGACAGAGCTCGCATCAGCTCAGACTAACTGTCCCCCCCCCTCCCACTTTCCCACTCAGATGCGAGACGCAGCGATCAGTTTTGTTTGGACCAAACAATGGCAATCTGTATCTGTATCTTAAACTGTCGCCGTATCTGTATCTGTACGCACGATCTGTGTGGAATTGGCTTTTGATTTTATCGGCAGCATTTGGCTGACACAATTCCGCCAGCAATTAAATGAATGAGCGGCGGATTTGTGGAACTGTGGCTCAGCGGTTCAGCTTCTCATTCGACTCGGCTGGCGGTCAATTTGCCGGCTTTGCTTAAGGAAGCTGTCAACCGGCGCTGCGTGCCGCGTGCATAATAATGTGGCCAACAATTGTTTACCATATGCAGCGCTCGACTGCATACCGAGCTGTCCAATTGGTCTTATTAGCCTGTCGTTTGCATTTTGCGGTATTTTCGCTTTTGTGCCACCGACCACCGACCAGCTCGCCGAACGTTGCAAATGTTCAATTTGAATGCGCCTTCCGAAAAGAAATTCCAGACATTGCTAACTTGGCCATTCAAATATTTCGCCGACCTGGTTGTCAGCCTTTTTCTTCTGCTGACTTCTGCTTTTGGCATTCGATTTGACTATGCGTGCGGCGCTCAGCTGTAGATTCTTTAATAATTGAGATAAATTTAAATCGTTAACTGTGCGAATCACTTTCAGAACAGAAAGTAAGAAAAAGCGAGTGATGGCACTTGATTTTCTATTCCTTTTGGTGCCTTATTCGTAATCGCTTTACTGGCTTAAAGTCTCTTTTCTTTCTCCTCACTTTAATTTTTCTTGTGAGCTCCTTTTCCAATTCTTCTTTGTGTCGCATTCGCATTCGTTTTGCTGGCAGCGTTTTCTTTTTTATTTATTTTAAATCTTCTTTCTTTCTTTTATTTGTCATTCGTAATTATCTTTCTGGCTTTAAGTCTCTTTTCCTTCTCCTCCCTTTAATTTCTCTTGTGAGCTCCTTTTCCAATTCTTCTTTGTGTCGCATTCGCATTCGTTTTACTGGCTGCGTTTTCTTATTTCTCTCTTTCTTTAAAATCTTATTCCTAAAACATTTGTTTCTCTTCTCTTTCTCATATTCTTAATTTAAACTTTTTGTTTCTTCTTTCTTTCTGCTGTTTTCGGTAACGTTTTCACAGAAAGCTTGCAAGAATTTTACATCCCGTCATTCTCTTTTATTTCCCTTTTCAGCCAAAGGCAAGTGCATGGGAAAATTGCAGTGACCACTCGTCAGAGAAAAGTCTGAGATCATTTTTCATTTAGTTGCATTGTTGTAATTGCCAGTCTAAAGTTTTCAGTAGCTGTGCCTTTCATTTCAACACATTCAACGGGCGCTCGTTGGCGCTCGCATAGCATAAAATTGCAAACACATTATTGACACATCATTATCAATCAAAGTTCTATGTGGTTATGCTTAGCTAGAGGCCAGCAAAGTGGGGGAAAATGCTTCCGCAAGTCGAGAGTCGAGAGTCGGGAGTCGAGAGTCGGGAGTACCGCTAGCTTGTCGTGGGCTTAGCTCTTGGTTTATGGCCATGATTTATGGCAGAATTCTTCATAGGCGGCCGTTCTGGTTGGCCAGGGCCCAGTGCAGCATGAAGCCACCTCCAGAGAGAAGCCTAAACAGAGTAAGAAAGAGAGAGAGAAAGAAGCAGCCACAGAGACACGCACAAGATTGCAATTCTCAGATGTAGATACATTCACACTCACAGCTGCAGTTACATATACAGCTGCACGTACAGATACAGATAGAAATGCTTTATGGCCAAAACCGATGCGAGTTTTGTTTAACATAAACTGACTGATTTGATGATGGCCATTTACATGCCATTCCACGTTCCCCAGAATTTCATTCCGCATTTTTATTTCAGCTTCCAATTCATGTTTATTAATTGGCAATAATTATCACAGCTTTATTGTTTTCGACAACAAACATTTAAAAGCCATTAGGCAAAAGTGCCCCGGACCTAATGGTCTCTGATGTGTAAAAGAACATGGCATTAAAAGCAGATTATATCAAACTTAATACTTAAGCTCTTAACTTACCTGATAAGCCTTAGATATATGGCCAGGTGTAACAAACCATATAAAAATAGTAAATAATTATAATCTTAACGAATCACGAGTCGGAGTAGAATCTAACAGGCTTATCGCAAGTTAGTAAAACTTTTAAGCTTTCAGATTCTTGCTCTGATTAAGTATATCAACATTTTTAACATAGCTGTAGTTGGTATCTATATTTATATATATATATATGTATGTATATATCAAAAAGAGTTTGTCCTGATTCTCTGACTGACTAACTGGGCATCAAAACACTGAACTAAGAGACAAAGCCTAGCAAGTTAGATAAAATTTGCATAGAAGCTTTCTTAGAGTCGAAAGTGAGCACCAAGACAAGGTTTCGGAAAGCTTCGAACTTCAAATATTCAAAGTTTGTGGAAAATCGTCAGCAAAAACATAGCCACGTAAGTTTGCATTGCAAAAACTTCGTGAACCTGGGACAGACACTTAGTCTGAACTTCGAACCAGCAAGAGAGAGGTCAGAGGTTCAAACCCTACAAAAATTTAAAATTTGTATATATATGTGTAGAGCTCAAATATCTGAATGTTAGAAATTTATATAAGAGTATCTGTGTGTTTTTAATATATCTGAATATATCTTACATTCGAATTTCATCCGAGCGACGCCGGCTAATATCTTTAGATAAGCCATATTTTATTTGAACACATTATCAAAATATCATAAGCTCCTTAGTTTTCCATAGCACACCAACTACACAAATTGGTCTCATATTAGGCATGATATATGATTCCTTTTTAACGCCCTGCCCCTATATCATATCGTTCCCATCAGCTTAATTCCCATAGCTCTTCCGGTTGGCCAACAAATTTTGCACTTCACACTTGCCACACGCAATTCGAGCTGCTTTTTAAGAGTTGCCAAGTTCATTAATCTTGTACGCACTTTAGCCTATGGCTAAGCCCCCGATAAAAGTGCGACTAAAGCCGAACGAATTTTGCATTTTAATTGAAATTCAAATGCGCACATTATAAGCTATATGAAAGGGGCTGTCAGTTGTTGCCAGTTACCTGTTGTCTGTTGCAAGCTACCTGATACCAATTACCTGCCGCGCTTAATGAGCCTACGGCCCGAAGGCGACGGTTGTCAAATTGCGCGATTATGCAAAGGCCCAGACATCAGGCTGAAACCAAAGTTAAATAATTTTAATTGTCGCAATGCAAGTCTCACTAGAAAGCAACAGCTAGGCAGCTGACGAACTTTAAATACCCTTCTATAGGAAAATTATATAAAACATTTGAAAAAATAGGCAACCTTTTCC